CTGCGAGGAGGCGCCGGCGGCCCAGGAACGCGCGTTCTCAGGCCGCCAAACCGCCGACCGTCGACGGCCCGCGCGCCGCGGGCCAATCGTGCACTTCGGTTCCAGCGGAGCGCGGCTCACCGCTAGGAGTTGGGGGCAACCTCGGACATGCCTCGAGCGTCGCCACTAGGCAGACGCAGTCCTCGCGTACATCCCGAGGGAGCGGCGAGCGCGGGTCGCCCTCGGGGCTCGGAAGTCTCGGGCCCGCCCAGGCCGTTGCCGGGATCTGCCGCGGGAATCGCGCCGCCGCTTGATCCGTCGCAGGTGGCGCAAGGGGACTTGGAATGGTCATTATAGATCGCGAGCTCCGGCCGTCGGCGGCCTGGGCGCAGGAGACGAGGCCGCCCCTGGCCAGGCCGAGTTTGCCCCAGACTTGGGCCACGGCCGCGGGCCGCGCCGCGGCGCGCGGCCCCGCGGAGGACACAGGGGGCGGCGCGCCCTGGCACTCTGGAGGAGCGGCGATAATCGCGGATGCGAAGTTCGGCCCGGCGCAGCGGGATTTCCGCTGCGCCGACGAGGCCCACCGCACTGTGGCTCAGCAGGTCTCGTTCGGCCCGGAGGCGAGTGCGCCGCTGGTCTCGGCGCACCTGGTCACAGGAGTAAGCCCCAGAGTGCGCGACAAGGCGCTGCTGGGCGACCTGGCGGACTTCGCGACGTTTGCTCAGCTACCGATCATCATTGGCGGCGGCTGGAACATGCTTCCGCGGGGCGTGATCGATTCTGGCTAGACGGGCCCCATCGGGCCGCAAGTAGCTGGCCCCGAGGACCCCGCCTGCCAGGGCCGCGTGTTTGGCGTCTGTTCTGTCGCGAATCAGCGTTCAGCGCCGCGCAGCGCGTCGCTCGCGACGGCGCCGGGGGCCCCGCTCGGCATCGCAGTCGCAGCTGCAAGGCCTCTTTCGGGGCGCGAAGGCCGGGCAGCGGGCGGTGCCCCTGGATTTCCCGTTTAAGGCTGCGCAGCAGGACCAGGAGGGGGGCCACCTGGGCCGCCGCCTCGAGCGCCCGCCATCGATTAGGGGGGGGGAGATCGATTAGGGGGGGGGAGGGGGGCGAGGGAGCTTCAGCGCGACCCCAGCAGATCCGCAGCCAGGTGGTTCGATGTCGCTGAGACTTGTTCTGCGCGCGGCGTGCGATATCGCCCATCGGGCGGCGCGCAAAAGCAGCCGGGCCGCAGCGGCCAGCGCGGGTCCTCACGGGCGTCTTTCGCGGCGTCGCGGGGCCGAGAGCTTCGTCGGCGATCGCGGGCGACAGCCCCAGCCTTGCTTTTGGATTCAGAGGGCCCACTCTCAGTTTTTCGCCAGTGAGCGTTGCAAGTGAGTCGGCATTCAAGGGCTCGAGCGCAGGAATGCGCGCCTGCTCGCATTCTGGTCAGAGGCCGACGCCATCCCCCCTCCGTCGGGAGCCCATCTTTGAGCTCCAGGAAGGCTTCGGAGGTGCTGGGGGCGCTTCGAGCCCCCGACGCTAAAGACCTTGCGACTGGTTGCGATTTCGGGTGCGTGCCAAGCTGGGCTTGCAGTCGATGCTGAGCAGCCCCCACGGTCACGGGCTGCTTCTTGTCACGAGGCCACGCTGAAGGGAGGAAAGCTGGCCCGCGCATTCAGCAAGAGGAAGTCTGGCCATGCGGCGCCGATTCTAGGAGAGGACGAGGATGGCGACCGCGCGCCTCCGGCGAGGCAGCCGGCCCTTGAACGCACGCGCGGAGAGCGGCGAGGGATCCGGCAAAAGTATTCCGGGACTCTTGCAATTCATTATCGGCCATGGGCTGCGCCGGCAATCCCCCCCCGTCGCAGCAGAGCAGGCGCGGAGCAGCTCCCCCAGACCCTCAACCCAGTTTTCTTTCGATTTGTGCAAACGCTTTGTTCACGTCTTAAACGGAAAGGATGAACATCGCAGGCGGATGCAGACGGGCCGCGGCTGGCGCCGATATTTCCCATGGTGAGCTGCGGGGGGGGGGGGGCGCGTCGCTCGCCCCCCCCCTTTCTGGGCCCGCGCGCATTCTACGACTCGGCACCTCGAGCGCGACGAGCGGAGGCGCCCACGGCAGGGAAAGCTATTCCGCGGGCAGGATGGCTCGTCAGCGCGTGAGAATTGCGCGCGCGTCCGCAATGCGCGAAGCTCACCTCCTAGGCTGAAGAGCAGCGGCCTCGGCTTTTTGGGGGCCACAGGAATTTTCGATGAACGCATGAACAACCATGAGGTTTCAGGGGCCTTGAGGGCCCGTGGGCCCCCTCTTCGTCTGGCGCGCAGTCCGCGCTGCGCGCGTTGAGCACAGCGCAGAGCGATGTTCCAAGGCATCGCGAGTGCCTCCACGTCCGCAGATAGCATCGCAATCGTTGGATGCTCGCGCGCGACGTCGGTGGCTCGAGCGACGTCGCCGCGCGCGCGCCCAGGCGCCGAGCGATGCTCCAGCGGCCACCCTTCGCAGCATCATCGACGACGTCTCATTCCCGCCTGCGCGGCGGCCTGAGACCGCGAAGGCCCAGCTGGCACGCGCGCTCTCGATTGTAGCCGACGATGTTCAGGACAGGGGGGGGGCGCCGACATCGCGGAAGAAGGCCGGCCTCCAACAGCGCGCTGGCTTCCGCCACTGGCCCGCTGTCCCTGATGGGCGGTGGCCTTCTGGGGCGCCAGCGCATCGGGCGTTCCTTGCGGCCGTTTGGACGGCCAGGGGGCAGTCGCCGCTAAGGCGGGCGCTCCCGCTCGGGGTCAGCAAAGCCGGGCGGAGGCGCGACCTCGTCTGATAGCCTCAAGCACTACGGCAGCGTTTTGCGGGGCGGCCACCTGGCGCGGGGGCCTCTGGCGCGGCTCATGGCGGGGGCCGGGAGTGGGATTCGACGTTGTATTCTCCAGCTTGCCTTGCCATTCAAGTGCCCCGGGCAGCCCGCGCAGCGTCGGGCCCGCGCTCGCTCTCGCTGCTAAATGACGATGGATGCCGGTGCGCGCCTTTTGTTTTGGAAGCCTGCGCTCGAGCGCATGCGTTTGAAGCCCGAGTCAGCTTGGGATGTGCACCATCAGAGCTTTTCGCGAGGTCGTCGTCGCACCGGTGCCACTTGCGCTTGCATCAGCAGGGGCAAGCGCTCCCAGTGGATTGCCAGCTGTGCTCGGCCAGGCGTGGAAACTGCTTTTTCTCACGCGGTTTTGGTTTGCGCGGCTCTGGAAGCCCGGCGACGCGACAACCTCTCCGACCTCGTCGGGCTGGCCTCTGAGAAGGCTTGCGTCGGCCCCGCAAGCCTGGCGGGAAATCTTGCCCAGGGCTTTGTTTCCGGATCCTGTGGTCTGCTTCGGGAGGCAGCCGTTTCAGCCGAATGGCGTTGCATGTGGGTTGGGAGCAGGGTCCCCATTCCTTCTCGAAGGCGGGCGCGCAGGTGTTCGACGGCTCGCGCTTCGACGTTGATTTCTAACATGTGCGCGTAGGAGGCCGGCCTTTCATTTTGAACAATACTCAGATGCGCTTCGAAGATGACCTGCATGGAGCTGCGCCACCCGATTTAAAGGCGCGGCAGCCCGCGCGGGACGGCGAGGACTACGCTGTGGCCCAGCTAGCTGAGCATATGTCCCGGACCTTCTCTATACAGGTCTTTTGTCGCGCGACTATCTCGTGCTGCCAGAAGCCCCGGGCCTCTCCGGTTAGCACAGACCCTTGCGCGCATTCTCGGAGGCGGCCACCTCGCGCGAAGACTTCGCGCAATGTGACATCGCGCATGCGAGAGCCCACGCCTCAGAGCAAGCATTGCGAGAGAATTATAGATCCTCTTTGTCAGCGAGAGGGCGACTACCTCGCCGACCTGTCGGCCGAGTGGGGGGCAGCCCTGGCCCGCTCAGATTCGTGCGAAGTGCATGTCCTCGAATGGCGCAGGGCGGTCGCTTCGCAGGTTTGCAGGTATGTAGCCAGGGTCTCGAAGCTCACGCCCGATCGGGAGCTCAGAGACAGTATGGATTTCATGTGCTTCAAGGACATGGATATGTGGCTTGCTCCCATGACGTGCCCTACCGTCAGTCTGACCCTGGTTTCACTACGAGGCTGAAGAGCTTCAGGGAGGCTAGGGACCCAGGCCGTCGGGCGCGGTTGTGCCCTAGGGCCCGCAGCTCATCTAGCACGACCACGTGCTCAAGGCGTCAAATGGAAGATGGCGGGCGAAAGCCTTCTGTTTTGTTTGTCGTTCATGCTGACAGTGCGCACAATGTCCGGGCTCACGTGGACTCAAAGGATTGTTTTTCGGTTTTCGTCACCTCTCGGGAGGCAAGGCTTTGACCGCGAGAGATCGATCGAGGGGCTCGAAGCACCCGACTCGCCCCGAAGTGGGGGTGATGGTCGTCCGCCGTCGTGGTCGTCTTGGGCCCGCTGGGCGGGCCAATTCGGGGAGCACGTCGCTGGCGAGCCAGTCTCGAGGGGAAGGAGGCCCCACTGTCAGCCGCAATGCCCGCCGCCGCGAGTCGACCTGTCGCTGATTGTCCGTGCGTGTGGTTTCGTTGAGCGCGGCGAGGCTAAGCGCTTCGGTGTTCAAGCCCCGGAGGCCAGGGCGGAGGCGCGCGCGCGACGCCCAGCCCCAGGAAGATCTCTGGTGACGTTTTGGGGCCGCAGCCTCGTGCGGGGAGCAGAAGGCTCCCCTTCCCCACCGTCCTGCTCTCTCCTCCTGTCTCCTCCCGTTGTGGGCGTCGAACCTCCCTTTCCCTTTTCCTCCTCCTCCTCCCCCTCCTACTCCTCCTCCTTCCTCCTCCTTCCTCCTCATCCTCCTCCTCCTCCTCCTCCTCCTCCTCCTCCTCCTCCTCCTCCCCCCCTCCTCTCCCCTCCTCCTCCTCCTCCTCCTCCTCCTCCTCCTCTCTCCTCCCCCTCCTCCGCTCTGCTCCTCCTCCTCCTCCTCCTTTTCCTCCTCCTCCCCCTTCTCCTCCTCCTCTTTCCCTCCTCCTCCCTCTCCCTCCTCCCTTCCATCCCCGCACCTCGAAGTTCCCCCCCGGACCGCGAGGAGGCTGCGGGCGGCTCGGCCGACGACGGCGCGTGCCCCGTGTGCGCGCCGCAGGCGCCAGGGGGCCTCTGCCGCTACGCTGGCCGACCGAGAGCCCCACAGTGTCGTTTTGTGTAATACATGTTCCGCGTGCGGATCATGTGTCAAAAATGCAGGGATTGAGTATTAAGAACAACGATGAGTTCATGCAAACATTGATTCGTACATTAATCATGTATTAAAAGTCGTATATATGTTTATATATATATATATATTAGTCCTATGTATTGAAAAACTGCCCTGCAGGCTTCCCCCGGGCCTCCAGTGCCCTGGGCAGGCAGGGGCGTTCCAGGAAGGTCTTCGCCCTGGAAGATCGACGGGGCTGGCCTCTTCTCCTCGGCGGGAGGCGGCGGAAGTCTCCCGCCGGCGGAAGCCAGCGAAAGGGCGGCGGAAGTTGGCGGAAGTAGAGAATGCGCCCCCAAGAGAGGGCAACCTTGTTGGGTTCAGGATTTCCAGAACCGGCTCAGTAGAGGATCGAATTTGGATGTGTGTTCACTTTTTTTTCTTGCGCCTCCAGGGGGGGTCCTCGTCACCACGTCTGGATCCGCCTCGAGATTCCAGCCAGAACGAACCCCCAAACAGATCCAGGAATCGGTTTTTGCCTTCCAAACCCTGACGTCCTCCCGTTGTTACAATCGGACGGGGATAGGACGAGGACACATCCGTTCCAGAGCGTCCCAGAACGCTCCCGGAGCGTTCTGGAACGCTCTGAGAAGGCCGCGGCGCCCGACACATCCTCCAGAGCTGCCGGATCTCAGAGATTCTCGATTTATCCTCACCCGATGTTATCCTCGTCTTGACTTCGTCTTACGCCAGGGTCGTTGAGAAACGGTCGGGACGGAAAGCCCGTCCCCGAGCAGGGGTTCACGCCTCTGGGGAGCAATGCTTTGAGTAAGTTACGACGTCGGAGGTCTGTATCGGGTAGGTTTGAGCGGAAGTCTTGGGAGATCTTCGTCCGTCGCTGGCTCAAAGACGGGGTCTTGAGAGACGGGGTCCTACCCTGGGATCCCTTCCTATCCTGAGGCCCCCATCCCTCAGGATCCCATCTTTGAACCACCGAGTCTGGGCATTCGCGCCGCAGGGTGGTATTCTGTGGGCGCTGGCTCCGAAGATCGGCTGCGCGCAAGGGTGACCCTGACCTCGGGTGCGGACGCACAGCGGTCCCCCTGAGCACTGGCCTGCGACGGGAGTCGGGCACCCCCGCGGCCCCCGAGATTCGCGCAGCAGAGGGCACCCGTGCCAAGGGGGTCACTCTCGCGTGTGGCCGATACCGTTTCTTCGGGCGCCTCGGATGCCCAGGCCTACCCCAGGCCCCCCGTGTCTTGAGCAGACCAATGCGGGGGCATTGGGCGGCCAGAGGGGCGTGCTCTGCCCACGGGGCAGTCAAACACAGGCCCGAGATGAAGTAGTGCTCCTCGCGAAGGCGGAGGTCTGGGACAGAGGGGAGGGAGGCAGAAGGAGGCATGGACTTGACATGGCGGCGAGCCCAGGGGGGGGGGAAGCGAGAGGGGGCGGGCCTTCTCAGAGCGGCTCGGAAGGCCTCGGGCCCTCCGAGACAGGGATGCCCAGAAGGCCCGAGGGCTTCTGAGAAGCCCCGCCGCCCTCCGAGAGGGCCTGCCCCCCTCTCGCTTCCCCCCCCTATGGGCTCGCCGCCGACTGGCGTCTGTCGTGCTCGTTGGGGCCTCGTGGTGCCCCCTCTCGCCGCCGCGGCGGGCCTCTCGCCTCGAGGCGCTGGCCAGGAGGCACCCCGGGAGAGGGAGGTCCAGGGGTCGATGCCTGGGGGAGGCCTGGAGCCCGGACCCGCGGTCGACACGACGACCTTCGCGGCGCCCGTTTCTCAGTGTGCGTGGCCCCTGCAGGCCCCTCTTGGGCGCCCGAAGCGGGCAACACATGCCCAGGATGCGCCGTTGGGCCCCGCGACAGGGTCGGAAGGGCCAGCGCCCAGGCCACGAGAACAGCGTGACCTCATGTGTGTGGTGCGGTCGCCGTTCATGGTGCCTCATCCTGGCAAGCAAGTCGGGCACGAGGAATTCACTCGTGCAGAATAGAAGCAGAGGCGCGGGGCGGAGGCATCACGCAACGTGCCACAGCAGTACTACCGAGATGCACGATTGCGAAGTTTGTTGAAGGTGGCTCCGCAAAAGGTCTGAACCTGCATGGACCAGAGAAGGATGTGGAACAGGACAAGGAGCACGACGACGAAAGGACCTGGAAGACGAGGAGGGGGGGAGGCTTGGCCTTGCAACACTAAGTGCCATTGCTATCGCCCAGTCACAACATTCGCTACGTTCGTCTCGGCCAGCTCGCTCTGCGAATGCCATTACCACCCCGGCTGTTGCGACAGCAGGCCTCTGTCAGCCCGGACTTGGTCATTCCTTTCTTCGAGCGTGACTTGTGCAAGCTGAAGACAACAGCAAAGTCGGCTGTTTCGATCGTCTCTTGCAGGTTGTCTGCGCAGGAGGCGGAGCCAGCAGAGTTACCACACAGATTGCACGTTGCCCCTAACACAAATATTCAGATTGCAAGCCGATGTGGCATGTCCGTTTGGGTTCAGCGTACGCGAATGATGTGAGTGTTGCGAGGTTGGAGCGTCATGTGTTTGTCGTAGTTCTTCGTGTGTCCGCTCTTCGCTGATGGTGTTTAACACATCAGTGACCCTGTCGTGTGCACCAGGCACTGGCCTCGTGGTTTTGGCCGGCCTGTATATCATGTGTTCGTAATGCGTGGAGAAGGATGGCGTGCGTGTTGTGACCGTGCCCGTCTGATTAGTGAAGGTCGCTGTCGGTAAATGACCCCAACGGCATGTTCGGGGACGTGTATTTGATGTGGGTGTCGACGAAGCACTCTTCGGAATTCATGGAGGAACTTACAGAGGCTTCCGCGATGTGTGCTCTGGTGCGCGGCCCAGTGCGCATTCAGCGTTTTGATATAGGTACGATGTACACGTAGCATGGCCTTACATTGGCGTTTCTCGGCGTGCGGCACTGTGCAAACGCTATGTCCCTTGTATTGGTTGCGTTTCATTGTACGGCATCGACGCGGTGGTCGCTGCGCACTCGGCGGGCCTTGCTCGTCACATCCTCGCGAACTTGTTGCACTCATACTGTTGTTCGGGGGCTTCTCTGCGCTTGCTCCTCGCAAGTGGATGCTGCCGCGCAGGCCGCCACGGCAATCTCGGCCACCCACAGCGTGCAGCTCATCGAGTGAGCCCTCCCACCCGCGCGCGTCCATTGCTTGTGCACGGGTTGGGAGAGTTTGCCTCTCGAGGCGTTTTCCTGGCCAGTCTTCGCCATCCCTGCGTTTGCCTGCAGAGGCGGTGGTCATGCGAAGGAGGAGAAGAGGGGGAGGAGGAGGAGGAAGAGGAGGAGGAGGAGGAGGAGGAGGAGGAGGTATGTTGTTTGATGCTGATCGCTAACGCCGCCAGTCGTGGCCTGCACTTCTCTCTTGGACCATTCAAAGGTAGACCCACGGGGAGGCCGTCGTCAATGTTCGGAGCTGCATGGCGATGTTCGGATTGGCCTCGGCCACAATCGGTGTCGAGCGAAAGGGGGGCAGGCCTCGAGTGCTGGAGGCTATCCGGCCGCATCCTGCCCTGCGCAGCGCATCCTTGCCCGAAGTGCTGCGAAGATCGGCTCGCGAGGAGGAGGAGGAGGAGGAGGAGGAGGAGGAGGAGGAGGAGGAGGAGGAGGAGGAGGAGGAGGGGGAGGAGGAGGAGGAGGAGGAGGAGGATGAGGAGGAGGATGAGGAGGAGGGAGGAGGAGGAGGAGGAGGGAGGAGGCTGGAGGAGGGCCGTCCCCCGCGCCCCAGAGTCCCCTCCAGTGCCGTGCCCTGCTCCCCTGCACTCCCCGCCGCTCCCCTCTCTTGCCCTCCCGTGCCCCATTCTATGATTCTGTTGTCTTGCACATCCTTCGCCGGGCGCGAGTTGCCCACGCTGTTTCTGTGGAGCGCTCCAGAAACGGCCTTGCCTTCGACGATCGAACAAGTTGCCATCTCGTCCTCGGCGGAAGGAGGCGGAAGTGCAACAAAAACGCTTCCAAGAGATGGCAACATTTTGGGGTTCATCGTTTCCGGAATGGGTCAGATAGAAACGGTTGCGTACGCCACCAGGTTCACCGACTTGATGGAGTTCACCGACTCGTTGAGCGGATGGCACGCCCAGCAGGCACTGGGGCGGGGCGCGCGGCGGGGATGCGAGCGCGCACGCTGCGACACAGGCACACAGGACTCTGGGGCTGCAGTCGAGCTCGCATGCGCGGGCTGCTACGCCTTGCCTCTCCTCAGACGCACCGCCCTACAGGTTTGATGTGTAACAGCACGATGTTGATGATGGTGAGGAGCTATTTGGGGCCGTCTTGAGGATGTCTTGGGCTCCTGTGGGGCAGTCTTGGGGTCCCTTGGGGCTGTGTTGGGGCTCTCTTGGGCCACCTTCGGGCGCTTTGGGGGCCGTCTTGGCGCCTTCTGCCGTCTTGGGTCAGTCTTGGACCGTCGAGGGGGCCTCGTAAGGCCGTCTTGGGTCCACTCCGGAGGCCCTCTTGAACAGCTTGGGGCTGTTGTTGGGCCGTCCTGGGCCGTCTACAGTAGGTTCGCGTCGTGTCGACCAGCCGCGACCCCCCGCCGGCGTTCAACGTTGAACGCCGCCGGCGATCTAGAATCGGTCGATGTTGAATGATCGGATGTTTCGGGAACGGCCGATTGTTCAAGGATAAACGATCCACGCGGTGTCATAAACCAAAGCCTGAGTCTGCACGACACGAACCTGTCGTACGGCCCCCCATGGAAAACATTGAGGCAGTCGTGGAGGATGATTGAGCAGCCATCTTGGGGGGCCTCTTGGGCCGTCTTGGGGTCATCTTGCAGTTCTCGAGGGCCGTCTTGAGCTGAAGGAGGCCCTGAAAGGCGAAGACTCATCAAAAACGGCTCAGGATGATTCATGAGTGTGGCTTCTTCGGGCCCTGCCGAAGGTCCTCGGAGTCTTCTTGGGCAGTCTTGGAGCCATCTTGGCGGCCTTGGCGGCCTGCGTCGGCAGTCTTGGACACCGGGAGGCGCGGACCGATTGTTCCATGCGAGCGTGGCCTCGGGAGAGCATACCCATGGTTCGTTGCAAGGGATCGTGGCCCCGGGAGCGCGGATGTGTCTGTTCCACAAGGGATCGTGGTCTCGAGATTGCAGACCATTGATCCTGGACCCGGGAGCGCGGACCCATTGCTTTCTACAGGAGCAATGGCGAGGGGGGATGGGTGCCCGTGAGTGCGGGCGGAGGGGGTGATCTTTCAGAAGACGGTAGCAAGCCTATTAGGGAGCAACGTGCCAGGGGGCACGGTGGCGGATCAGTCCACCCTTCCTAGCCGACCTAGGCGATGATTGCATTTGATGTTCGGATGCGGACGGCACGCAATAATATAGTTGATATTTGGCTACGTGAGTTTTTCACGTGTCAGAGAAAGAGCTCCCTGAGCAATGCGAGTCTACATATATTCCAAGCATTCGTACCATTGTCGTGTTCGTCGGTCGGACAGAGAAGCATTACAGTCGAGCATTCGAGCATCCGATTAAGAAGCCTCCCGCCTAAAATCTGGGCCAGCGTTTCTTAACACACTTGCCAGAAAGCTGGCCCATTTCTTGAGCACGTTCGCCCCTCCAGAGTTGACAACAGAAATTGGCAGAGGATTTGTTAAGAAACGTCCGGGAAGCTGGCCCAGAATTCTCAATTGATAGTTTTCTCTATCAGATTCTTGGCTGTATTTGTATTGGGGACAGGGGTGAGCCGGCGGTTGACAACTCTTCTTTTGTAGTTTTCTTGTACGCTGCGCCATCAGGCACGGGTCCCCGCGGGCCGGCCTTCGAAACGGAGCATCTGTTTTGGTTAGGGCTGTGGCCATCCAATTTTGGAACCCCGCCTCCAATACAGTCAAGACGCTGAAATAAGGAACAGTTTGGGTACGAAAGGGGCTCGATGTTCCTTGGGTCATTCTGTGGTTGTTCCTCTAGCCCTCCTCGTGCACGCTGGCGCTTGTGAAGCCAAAATGGGGCTCCGTTTCCTTATTTACCGTTCTTGATTTTCAGGGGCCCGACTGTAACGCCCAGCAGCGCCAGAGGTGATGTTGGCACAGCGATCCATCACTCGAAAGCCCCGTGCCCATGGCACTGTATTGTTTGTCCAGGTCGGGCGAATTGTTGTGCCTACCTATCGCGGTGCACACTTGCTCTCGACCCGTGACTTGAGCACTGTTTCTGACGACCACGCGCATTCACGTGATCCACGACTTGCCGACAGCAGGTTGATACTGGCGCGCGTGGTTGGACATACCCAGCGCCCAGGACGTAAGAGACGAGGGGAACGACATCGGGGAGAGGAGGTGTGGGAGAGGGGTGGTCTGGTCGGGTAAAGAATATAAAACAGCCGCAACAGATCATCAAGTTGAAGGCCGCATCTGTCGTGAAGGCTCCCTACTATGTGGTGAGCCGCTGCATTACTGACAGGGCGGTAGCTGCGAAGAGGGAGGATGCATCCAACGCAGGATGGCACGATATGGAGAATGTACTCAACGTATCGGTGCCAGTGCTTGGAATGCGAGTGCACGTCGGAGAGGTCTGCGTTGAAGAATTCGGCAACTTCTTTGCATGGTTACACGGCACTTGGCTCGGCAGCTAATCTTGCAGGATGTCACACATAACATCGCAGTGGATTGAACAGTCATATGTGTTTTTGTTGTTGATGTTGTGCCACGAACCGGAAACATGGCAAGGCTCCAGGAGGGAAAGCGGGGCACAGTCAACAATGATGTTGTGGGCTTGTGTGGGCGAAAACCGTGAATAGAAGAACGTCAGACGAGCATGGGCGGCACCGTGTATTCCCAGCAAGCTCGAATATCCGAATTCAATGTGCAGCTTGGGTGCTTCACCTGCGGTAACCATCCGTCCCGGTTCGGTCTGCCCACGGTGACCACAATTCCATCTCGGCTGGTCGGCTCATTTTGCTTCCTTGTTCGTGTCATCACTGCATGGTGCCACCTCTTCGTGCCGACGGTTCGCGCATCATGTTCCCGGCAGGTACTGGACTCCAAGAACACCCTCATCAGACCTCTGAGTTCGGAGCCCCAGCTTGCGACGAATCATGCGCACAGGCAGGGGTACACATCCCATTCCCCCTCTCACCAGGGCTCTGCAATGGCACAGAACTCCGAGCCACAACTTCCAGAGTGTTGCGGATCGTGTGATAGCGATTAACGGGCATCGTGGTATATAGCGTGTCGGTAGCGTAATCATTTAGTTTGTTCGCGCACGTTTCGGCATTGACGTGGCACACCGAACAACATGTCTCTAAAGTGTCTGTGCAGTCCCCAGCGTTGCACCTAATATCAAACATGTTTACTGGACGATGTCAGAAATACAGGAGTAAGGATCACACGTACAGCAATGAAAGGCATGCCGACACGCAAGCAGGCATGCATGCAAACGGGGAGTGCGCAAACGCATTAAATTAGCAAAGACATGCGCAAAGACATGTCAAACCTTCAAGCAATCACGCCAGCAAGGTGCAAAGCAAAGAAGCGTGTAAGCAAGCGCGCAGACACGCAGCCATGCGAGCGGGCAGGGAAGCGTTTTGCACGCAAGCAAGCTAGGAAGCAAGCAATCGCACAATCATGCGGGCGTGTACTCACGCAAGCAAGCAAGGAAACACACGAGAGGAAGCGACCGAGCGTGCAAACAGGCTAACCTGCAAGCGCGCAGGCATGTTCGTTGCACAAGGCATCATGTCAGCAAGTCTGCAGGGAAGCACACAAGCAGGCAACAAGCAAGTACAGGAAACATGTATGCAATCAGGCAGGCAAGCAAGCATGCAGGCACGCAAGCATGCAAGCACGCACGCGAGCTAGCAGCCAGGCACGCAATCAACTTAGCAAGCAAGCGATGAAGCAAGCAAAGTAGTCAGGTAGTGAACGCACGCAACCGAGCACACGTGGAAGCTAGCAAGCAACTGCGCCTCGCCGAGAGCGCTCCGAGGGTGCCCAGATCGTCCCGAACGGTTGCCTGAGAGCCGAGCTATGACCCGAACGCCAGGGGGCAACGTTAGGAGGGGGATAGGCTCAGAGGGGGGAACGCATGGATCCCCAGTCGCCCCTTCCTCGGGGCACGATCCACCCCACCTCCGGCCCAGGAGCGTGCGGCTTCGCCGACAGGGACCTTTCGGCCGGCGATGCCTCACCGAGTCGAGGTCGGTGCTTCCCCCCGCCCCCCTGGGCTCGTCCCCCTCGGCCTGTCGCTCCCCCTTTCTGCCTGTACGGGATTCAGAAGTATACACCCCCAAACACCTCCCCGTCCCCCTCGCCCTCCCAGGAACGAGGAGGGGAAGAGAAGGTCTGAGGAGGACGGGGGAATGGGGGTGGTGGCGGCGTGTATTCTTGGGACCCGCAGGGGGGGCAGGGGAAGAGCGAGGACGCCAAGAACCGAGCAGCCGAGGCCAGGGAACCTCCCGACGAGGGCGCCAAGGCCGCACACCCATATTCTCCTCCTCCTCCTCGTCCTCCTCCTCGTCCTCCTCCTCCTCCTCCTCCTCCTCCTCCTCCTCCTCCTCCTCCTCCTCCCTCTCCCCCTCCCCCTCCCTCCTCCCTGACTGGGCCGCGGGCCCGTGTGCGCGTGTGGCGCTCCCCCCGCCGCAGCCAGCGGCTTGCCTGAGCGGGCCCGGCTTGCCCCCCTTCCCGTCGCGCCGGGGTCTCCTCCTCACCCCACGTGCACCGCGGCCTGCATTTGCATCTGGTGCGGCCCCTGATGCCTCTTACCGCCGGAGCAGTCACCCTCGACCCAGCCGCCGACGCAAAAAGTGTGTGTCTGTGTGCCCTCCTGCCCGAGCCAGGAGTCGAAGAAGAAAAAACGCCATAAACAGAAACTGCTGGAGCTCCGCGCAGATTTCTTGGGTCCGCGCTGGGGCCCCCCCGCGGCGCATCCGGCGCCGCCACTGGCGCGCTCCGCGCGCCAGGGAGGGGGGCCCAGCGCGGATCCAGGAAATCCGCGCGGAGCGCCAAAAGTCTATGCTTATGGCGCTTTTTCTTCTTCGAAGTATGAGAGGGGGAGGGGGAACAAAGGCGAGGAGAGAAGGGGGAGGAGGCACGCGCGGCGTGCCGTGGTTGGCGCGGGGCCCAGCGCGGATCCACGACACCCGCGCGGAGCGCCAAAAGTTTTTGCTCATAGCGTTTTCCTTCTGCCTCTTCTTCGAGATATATACGGGGGGAGGGAGCAGGCGAGGAGAGAGGGGGGAGGAGGCCCACGCGGTGTGTGCCGCGGCTGGCGCGGAGGCCTCCTGGCCTGCGTGGGTCGCGCGCCTCTCGTGGCCGGGGGCCGCAGTGCTCCCCAGGGAGCCCTGCGGCCCCCGGCCACGAGGCGCGCGACCCGCGCAGACAGGGAGGCCCCGCGCCGACCGCAGCACACCGCGTGGGCCTCCTCCCCCTTCGCTGCCTCCTCTCGGCGGCGAGCTCAGGGGAGGTTGGCATCGCTCGGACGTGTGCATTTTTCCTTCGGCGAGGACCATCGAGGAGCATCCTTGATCATTGGGCGAAAAAACCACGCACGAAACCGAAAAAACACACACGGAATGGACGTCCGAGCGATGGCCGGAGTGAGAAGGAGAAGGCCTTCTCAGCAGGCTCGGAAGTCCACCGGCTTTCTGAGAGAAGTTTTCCTGGCCCGAAGACACAGAAAAGCCTCTCAGGAGGCGCGAGGGCTTCTGAGAAGCTCCGCCGCCTCCTGAGAAGGCCTTCTCCTTCTCACTTCCCCCCCATCGCCCGCCGCCGATCCTCGCATTCTTCCTTCCCCCCTAATGCTCCGAAGAAGAACAAACGCCACAAACCTAAACTTCTGGCGCTGCGCGCGGATTTCTTGGATCTGCGCTGGACCCCCCTCCCTAGCGCGCGGAGCGCACCAGCGGACCGCGCCAGGAGCGGCGCCGGAGGCGCCGCCAGGGCGGGGGGTCCGGCGCGGGCGTGTTTTCTTTTTCTATATACTTTCCCATTTTCCTCCTCCTCCTCCTCCTCCTCCTCCTCCTCCTCCTCCTCCTCCTCCTCCTCCTCCTCCCCTCCCAGCCCCTCTCGTCACTGTCCTCGTCCTGCTCACGCTTCTTGTCGTCGTCTTCCACCCCGCTCCGCTCCTCCGCCTCGTCGTCTTTCTCCCCGCCCCCCTCCCCTCTCCTCGTGCTCGCCGTCCTCGACCCGTCGTTCTCCTCGTGGTCGCCCTCTTCGTCCTCGCGTCGCCTCCCCCAGACCCGTGCTGTAGCGCACTCTGGCCAGGAGGTCGGCTCCAGCCGTGGCAAGGAGACCGCCGCAGAATGGCAAAGAGGCACCAAACAAGCTTCGCCACTCCCGCCTCCCGCGTCCTTCTCTTCCTCGTCCCTCCCCCCCCTCCCATGGGCCCTCCATTCCCTCCTTCTCTTCCTCGCCCCTCCCCCCTTCCCCCCTTCTCTTCCTCGCCCCTCCCTCCCCTCCCCTTGTGCCCTCCGGTGGGCCGCGCGGGCGTGTGCGGGGAGAGCGGCCCGAGCTACAGCAGGACGACATCTTCACGAAGTGCAACACGGCGAAGATCCAGGCGCGTCACGGCCTCGTCGCCCTCGCCGTCCCCTCGTCCTCCACGTCGCTGGCCTGGCCCCTCTCGTCGCGCGCGTCGCCGTCGTCGTCGTCGTCGTCGTCGTCGTCGTCGTCGTCGTCGTCGTCGTCGTCGTCGTCGTCGTCGTCGTCATCGTCGTCGCCCCCCTCCCTGTCCGCCTCGGCATCCCCTCCCCTGAATCTCTCCGTCCCGACAGGAAGCTAGATACGCATGGCGCGGCCAGCGTGGAGGAGAGCTGCATGCAGGGGAGTGGCCTCGCCTTCGGAGAATCGAAGGAGTTGGCATCTCTTCCTCGGCGGAAGGTCCGCGGAAGCAGACGGAGGCATAACGAGGGCGGTTCCGCAGGCGGAAGGCCGGCGGAAGCCACTCGGGTCTCAGGGTTCCCGGAACCCTCCAGACATCGCCACGCGTCGTTCACGCGTTCGGCCCTTTTAGCGCCAAGTACGTCGGCCCTCCACATGTGTGTCTCGCGCGCGGCTGCCGTATGTTCCGCATGTGAATCCTAGCGTGCAGCTTCCCAGCGTCCTGGAAGTCTTCGTCATCGTGGTCGTCATCCTATTCCTCTTTCTCGTCTTCCTCACTGGTATCATCCCTCATCTTCCCACTCTCGTCCTCGTTCCCGCATTGTGTGTGTTCGTTGTTCAAGTCGGCCATGTTCCTCCCCCCGTAATTACCCCGATTCCTCCCCTCCTCCGCCTTCTCCTCGTCCTCGTCGTTCTCCGCCTTACGCCCCTCTTCGGGCCCCTCCTCCGCCTCCGCCCACCCTTCCTCCTCATTCCCCTCCTCCTTGCCGTCGTACTGATCGGATGAAAGAACCGATGAGGACGAGGACGCAGGATGGAGGAGGAAAGAGGGAAGGAGGATCCCGTTGGATGGCCCCGTCGTTAGGGCACATGTGTTTCGGCATCTTCGTGACAGCACTCAAGGGCAGCAGCAGCGCACCGTGCAGGTCTCAAGCATCTCGGTCGCGCAGCAAGTATGATACGGGTGTTGGCCTGTGCTTTGCTGATCCCAAAGATGATACGCAAGTCAATTTGGAGCACCGCCGTCCGAGAGAGGAAACGTGTTATGGCATTGAAACGCAAACCGCGGCCGTACAGGTATCGAACGCAGTCAACAGTTCCACTGGCATCCAACTTGTCTGGTGTGGATCTTAACAAATGTAATCACCACTTTGTTCTTTCATTTGTTGGGGGAAGCGGCCTGCCCTGAGAGCCCTCTCCAGTTGCGGCGCGACTTGAGCAAAGAAGCTATGTGTTGCAAGTCTTGTCTATCGAGCACGGCCGCGTTCCTTCTCGTCACAAGGGCACACGCGCCAGATTCGACGAGCCGTGGCGCGAATGACAACTTAAAAAGTCCTGGCGGTGTGACATGGTTGGTCTTCGCAAGCTCACGTCGCAAAGGATCGCGCGTAGCAGAGAGCATCTTGCACGCGTGATGTGCGTGTGCGAATGGGAGGACGTTTAGATACACCGCCTGTGAAACGAAGGGGCGAGACAATTTTGGAGTGCACAGGTCTTGGAGCAAGGATTTTGATGGAGTTGAGCTCCCTGGCTTGTACGCAGTGACAGCTTCCTAACCGTGGCCCTTGCGCACATGTCGCCCACGCAGCTGCCCTTGGCCATCGCAGAGAATCACAGAATCCATGTGTTACAGCTTAATTGTCAAAAACTTCAGAACTCCACAGTGTTTTCAGTTTTCTTCATTTTGGAAGCGGGCTGTGGCTTTGCTACAGGCGTGACAGGCGGGCACGGGTTTTGAACGCACCTGGGTCCACACCCGGATTCGACAAACAACAGCGTCGTTCTTCCCGATTCGGGCAATGTTGGGTGGCGCTCGGAGTCTGAGACGGAGGGTCACATCCCATGGCACCGACGCGAAGAAAATCGCACGCCTGGCCTCAGATTGGGCCTTACAGGGGAGGCCCATGCCAAGGAATTCCCTGCTCGCCTCCAGGGTGCCCTGGGCTTCTTGGGTTTCGACGGTCTTGCTATGGAAAGCGTGACGTTCCCACATCAGAAATCAATGGACGTCCTGGGGTCTCAGGGTTGGGTTTCTTGTGGACTGGCCTCCAATGTACCATGGGATTGTGCAGTCACCCGAGGGACAGCGCGACACCCATCCTGGAACGGTTCGGCGTGCCCAGCACATGACGACGGAGGTCCCTCGCGCGGACAACTGCTCCGCGGGAGCCTGGCCCACGGAAGCGGTGGTTTTTCGTGATGGCAGTCGGCACGACTTCAAAGATGAGCGGCATATGCGTGCACCCGCGTGCCTCCTGGTTGACGAGCCGCTGCCCTCGAAGGCGCATCCGGTGCGTGTTCGAGCAAACCGGTTGGTACGGCACGGCAAAGGACGCCAAGGCCCAGCGCAATTCAGAACATCTGCACGTTTATGGTGTGATTCCGTTTTTTGCTGCGCCCCGAGATACAGAACAAGCGATAAGGGAAGCGGGAGAGAGGCAGGGAGAAGGAGGAGGAGGAGGTTGAGGTGGTTGAGGGAGGAGGGGATAGGGGGCCGCCGGAGGAAGGGGGCCACTCGCTCACTACATTTCGCGGCTCTTCGAGCCCTGTGGGTGGGCTGGAGTAGGCTCCATGCTATCAGCCTTCGTTTCATTGACAGGGAATCTGTGCGCTCTGGAAGGAAACGCTGCTGCTGCACTTCGAGCTCGCAGCCCTGGGGCCACTTGGGAACGATCCAATTCACGCCAGGGTGGAGGCCCGACATCCCCAGCACACCAAGATGAGAAGCACCTGAGCGACGAGACACGAGAGAAGGCAGATGAGCGGGCACCCGCGCGGGAGCTGCCCGCGTGCGATCGCGCGGGAGGTCGCTGTTTTCCAGGGGGTGTGCGCGGGTTGGTGACCTGAGAGAGCCACCGCATCGTGTCGCCGTGCTGATGTGGGCCAGGCCCCTTGTGGAGCAGCCTTGGGTCGGGCATGCCCCTCTACAGAAGGACTGCTCAAACATGGTTTTCACAATCGTCTGGGGGCGATTTCTGGAGTATATAGACCTGTTTGGGGGTATTGCTTGACTACTGCCCTGCCTCTCCTCCAAAGCCCGCCTGTAGGAGGACATGCCTAACCCGAGAGCAGCCGCCGCCACGGCCCGCGGAGGCCGTGCCCCCCGGGCAGCTGGCACACGCTGTCGGGGGTGGACAGAACCCCCAACAGTGACACGTCGATTAGTGAATTGTCCGTTTTCGGTTCTCGAGAGGGCGCCGTGGCCGTCATTTTCCAGGCTTGCGCCCGCCAGGTTTGGGCCCGAAGTCGTTTTCACTAAACCACGTTTTACTAAAGGGAGGTCTGTCCATCCCCGACCTCGGGGATGGACAGAACCCCCTTTAGTAAAACGTGGTTTAGTGAAAACGACCTGAGGCCCAAACCTGGCGGGCGCAAACCTGGAAAATAACGGCCGCGGCGCCATCTCGAGAACCGAAAACGGACAATTCACTAATCGACGTGTCACTGTTGGGGGTTCTGTCCATCCCCGACGCTGCTGGGGCCGCCCGCGGTGCTGCGCCCCTCGCGGCCCCCCCCCTTCCCGGGTGCTCCCGGCCTGCCTGCACGGCCGCGCGGGGCGGCGCGAGCCGGGGATAAGGAGCGGACGGTCGACTCGGTGGCGCGCCGCACGGCCACTCGAACGAAGGATTGCAAAAAAACCCAGGATTGCAAAAAAAAAAAAAAAAAAAAAAAAAACAGGACTGCAAAAAAAAACCCAAGGATTGCAAAAAAAACGAAGGATTGCAAAACAAAAAAAAAAAAAAAACGTCCGAAGGATTGCAAAAAAAAACGTGCTCGTCCCCGTCCGCATTTCCCCCCCCCCTCCTCCGCCCCGTCCCGCCGCTCCCCCTTCCGGCTCCCGTGCCCCGGCCTGCTGCTCCGCCCGGTGCTTATCTGCGGCTGTTGCGGCCGGCTCCCCCTGGCCGCGGCCCTCTCGTCACATCCACCGGGACTCTCTCCATTATTGAATCGCTTCGCTCATTCCGCCGGCCCGTTTCGTATGACTGAGCCTCTTGGGGCCGCTGGGGGGCCTCTTCAGCGTTGCTTGGGGGCCTCCTGAGGGCCTCTTGGGGGCTTTTGGGGCCTCTCAGGGGCATCTTGAGGCCTCCTGGGGGCTTCTTAAGGCCGAGGGCTCGAAGTTTTGTTTTGTGTTCCCCCTTTGGGGCATCGCTTGGGGCCCTCTTGGGCCCCTCTTGGGCCGTCTTGGATGCCTCTGGGGCCGTCTTGGAGCCCTCTTGGGCCATCTTGGGGCCTTCTTGGGAGCTTCTTGGGCCCTCTTGGGGCGATCTTGGGGGCCTCTTGGGCCGTCTTGGGGCGTCGGGAAGCCGAAAAGATGGACACGCCAAAATCTGCCCAAAACATAAGGAAAAGTAATGATTTTTGCCTCTTGGGGCCCTCTGGGGAGTGCTCTTGGAGGCCTCTTGGGGCGTCTGGGGGCCATCTTGGGCGTCTTGGAACGATCATGTGGCATCTCGGAGCACTCTTGAACCATCTTGGAGGGCTCTTGGCGGCCTCGTGGCCCTTCTTGGGGCTCTCTGGAGGGCCACGGGGGCGGCGCCCAGGAGGAAAACCATCTCTGACCCGATCCTGCCGGGGATCGCCCGGGGTACTTTTCGTCCGGGGACCCCCAGGGGCCGCCCCGCGCGCGCGAAGTAGAAGTATTATTTAGCAGTTACCGGAGATCTTAGCACGCCTCTGGCCCGTTGGGCCGGCGAATTTGTTCTCTCTCTTTCTCTCTTCCTCTCTGTGTCTCGATCCCTTGCTCTCCCTCCCCCCCCTCTCTCTCACTCTCTCTCTCTCTCTCTCCTTCTTTTTCTTTCAGTCGGATTTTTGTACGGCGCTGAGGTGCTCTCTTTGGACGACTGGGTTGTTGCCCAGCTCCACGATTCTTCTTCCCCTCCGGTGCTGCCGCGTTCGGTTTTGCCCTGAGGCCTTCGGAAGAGGAGGGCTGCATTGATATTCAACGAAGGTTAAGCGTATACTGCTCTGCGGGGAGGGGGGGGTGGTTAAAATGTTGTCTCGCCCTCTCTCTCTCTCTCTCTCTCGCTTTCTTTCTCTCTCTCTCTCTCTCTCTCTTTCTCTCGTGGTATCTCTCTCTCTCTCTCTCTCCCTCTGCTCCAAAATCTCAATCTGAATACTACCGCCCTCGCTCTCCCGAAGACGGCGAGAGTTGCAGTCCTCTCCCCGCGCAGTGTTTTATGTACACACACGATTGGTCCGAATTGGTTTCTCTTTACAACAGACCTCATGTCAGGATCGGGGTGTCGCTCCCGTCGTTCAGAATGGCTCTCTCGACCCAGCGCGGGCCACTTTTCTGGATCCCCTCCGTTCCCCTCCTCCGCCTTCCCCTGGTCCCCTTGCTTCCCCATTCCCTTCCACTCCAGTTCCTGCTGCTGCGTTTGGTGTTGGTCCTCCCCCTCCTTCCTCATCCGCCTTTTCTTCCTGCTCATCTTTCTGCTCATCCGCCACCTCCTCCTTGTATGCAGCCACCTTTCTCTCGATTGCGCATGGCACGATGGGGTCTTGTTTGGAATGCCAGGTTCGCTATAAAACGCGCCCGCTGATAATGAGAGGACACAACAGCGCATTGGGAAGGGGTGGGTGGGAAGGGTACGATGGCAGAAATGGTGCCAGCACGCCTAGCTTGCCCTCTCACTCCTCTCACTCTCGCTGTCTCTATCTCTCTCTCTCTCTCTCTCCATCTCTCTCTCTCTCTCTCTCTCTTTCTCTCCCCCTTGCACCCCGGGCTCGAGCTTTCGCCGCGAGGCAGAGTTTCCAGCCGCCAAGATCCCCGTGCCGCACATCAACTGGTACAAGGCATGTCTTGGCACCACGCGGTCACGTGGGGGAGGGCAGATCTCGGTTCCATGCGGCCTCCCCCTTCCTCAGGGGAGGAGGCCGCATGGAGCCGAGATAGGTAACTCGCTCTTCCCCCGCCAGCTGCCCCCATCCCCCTTCTGTTCCTCCTCATTATTCTCCCGTTCCCCTCTAGACGTTGTCACTCGTACTTCCTCCTCGTAGTTGTGCGCATGGCCGTGCTTGTGTCCGCGTCTTCATTACCCTCCGCATCTTCATCTTCATCTCCCTTCCTTCCGCATCCTCATGTTCCTAGCTGCCCCTCCCCTCCTTCCTCCTTCCCCTCGGCGCCCTGCTTTGGCCTGCGGCCGCTCGACTCTGGCAGCGCCGGGGCGACGGAGGGGCGCTTCCGAGGCGAACCGAGGCTCCAGAGCAGGTGCGGCGGGAGGCGGAGGGGGCGCGGGGAGAGGGGAGCCCGCGCTCAGAGCATGCAGTCCTCCAGCTCGTGCTCCTCATCGCCTCCCCTCGCTGCCCCATTCGTGGGGGCATGCCCGCGCTGCCGAGGCACCCCGCGAGGCGGCGCGATCCGTGGCCTGGTGTCTTGTTCATCCCGACGTCGCCGCTGCTACGGCCCGTCGGGCCTGGCCCCATCTGGGTAAGGCGCAGGGGAGGGAGGGAGGGGATAGGAGGGAGGAGGGCGGAGGGAGGAGGGTTGAGGGAGAGGGCGGAGGAAGAATGATGAGGAAGAGGAGAGGGGGAAGGAGGAAGGATGGAGGAGGGTGGAGGGCGGAGGGAGGAGGAAGAAGAAGAAGAAGAGGAGGAGGAGGAGGAGGAGGAGGGAGGAGGAGGAGGAGGAGAACAGAAAGGAGGAGGAGGAGGAGGAGGAGGAGGAGGAGGAGGAGGAGGTGGAGGACGCCCAAGAGCAGTCACGGCGCGCAGCCCTGGCCCAACAGGAGGCGCTGGCGCGCGCAGCGGGAGTTGGGCCCACGACGCTCGAACACAGCGCGGACGGCGCCTTGCTCCCTTACGTCCGCGCGTGGGCCCGCCTCTGTCTGCAGGGCGCCCTCGTGTGCGACGCCGCGGGGGCGGTGCCGCCCTGCCGGTTCTGCGCCCATCCCAGGAACTCGGGGGCCACCTCCTCTGGCTCTGCCATCGGGCCGCGGCGGCCTTCGGGCGCCAGCCGCCAGGCACCTGCCCCGGCCGCGGGGCTCGCGCCCCGGGAAGCGCGCCTCCATAGCATGCGCAGCGCCAGGCCGACGCGCCGGCGCCAGGGCCGCACCTGCGTGAGACCGGCCTGCGCGGGGTGCGCGGCTGCCGCGGCGCGGCGGCAGCGGCGGCAGCGCCAGGCACAATAGGCTGGGGCGGAAGGGTCCCCTTGCGCTCTTGGCCCTTGGGCCCCGTCCCTCCCTGGGCCCCGGGGGGGGGGCCACCCTCCGTTCTTGGCCGTCCGGCCCTCGCCCGCTGGCCCCCGGGCCTCGTCCTTGGCTCCCCCGGCCCCCATATATGGCGCCCTCTGCCCGGCCCGCCCCGGCCCGGTTGGCTTCCTGGCTCGTCCCCGCGGTCCTCGCGCTGCGGGCCGCCCCCTGCCCCCGGGGCCCCTCGGGCCCGCTCGGCCTGCCCTGGCCCCGTCTTGACTGGGCGCTGACGCGCTGTCTGGGTGGCCCCCACGGCCGCGGTAGCTCGCCGGTCGTTGCCCTTCCGCTCTGGGCCGAGCAACCGCCGGCAGCAAGGAGGGGCTGCCGTGCCCCGCTGGGGGTCCTGTCCGAGCGGCACTCCACTGGCTTCGTACGGGGATGGCCGTCGGACAACCCCTCCCTGGGGGGCTCAAGGCGCGGCGCCCCCCGATACGGCGCCGGGCGCTAACCGGCCCGCCCCCGGCCCCGAGGGAGGAGGCACCAGCGAGCACCGCTCGCGCGTGAAAGCGCGGCTGCGCCGCGAGGCCCGGCCGGCTGGGCGTTCCGAGCGGGGAGTCGCATCAAGGAGCCGGAAAGGAAATGAAAGGAGAGGAGGACTAGGAGTAGGAGCAAGAAGAGGAGGAGGCGGAGAAGGAGGAGGAGGAGGAGGTGGAGGTGGAGGAGGAGGACCAGTGTAAAACCCAAGCGTCATCGACGAAGTTGGACTACACCTTCCTCCAAGGTTTTTTCCATAGGCCCGAAATGCCCCGTTGGAAAACAACCGTTTGAAGACCTTGAAGCATGCCAAAACATTATTCTCGGGGCTCCAACGCCTCGGATCAATCTGACTGTTGCGTCCTGGCGATTTTGAATCGTGCCAGAACGCCATTCCTGGGATTTCAACACCGCGAATCAGTTTAACTGTTTAACTGTTGCACCGTCATAACCATGGGAATCATGGAAAGTGCGCCAATGGATCTCCCTGAGTACACTAAAGGAGGGGGGGGGTCCAGAACCCTCCCCCCCTTCAAGGAGGGGAGGGGTCCGGACCCCCTCCCCCCCTCCCCCCCCGCCTCCCTTGAAGGGGGGGCGTGGTCCGGACCCCCCCCCCCCCTCTGGCGCTGGAAAAGGCGGGGGGGTTCGGACCTGCCCCCCTCCTCGTGTAGGGAGTACGGAGTTGGGAGTAGGGAGTGGTGAGTTGTGAGTAGTGAGTTAGTGCGTAGTGAGTAGTGAGTATTGGGTAGTGAGTAGTGGGTAGTGAGTGGCGAGTAGGGAGTAGGGAGTAGGGAGTGGGGAGTAGTGAGTAGTGAATAGTGAGTAGTGTGTACTGATAAGTGAGTAGTGAGTAGCGAGTAGTGAGTAGTGAGTAGCGAGTAGCGAGTAGTGAGTACTGAGAAGGGAGTAGGGAGTAATGAGTAGTGGGTAGTGAGTAGTGGGTAGTGAGTAGTGGGTGGCGAGTAGTGATAAGTGAGTAGTGAGTAGTGGGTAGTGCGTAGTGCGTAGTGAGTAGTGAGTAGTGAGTAGTAGTGCGTACTGAGTAGTGAGTAGTGAGTAGTGACGCATAGAGAGTAGTGGGTAGTGTCAGTGGGTAGTGAAAAGCGAGTAGGGAGTAGCGAGTAGTGAGTAGTGAGGAGCGAGTAGGGCGTAGTGAGTAGAGAGTAGTCAGTAGTGAGTAGTGGGTAGTGATTAGTGAGTACCGAGTAGGGAGTAGCGAGTAGTGAGTAGTGACTAGTGACTAATGAGTTGTGACTAGTGACTCGAGACTATGTAGTGACTAGTGAGTAGGGAGTAGTAAGTAGTGAGTAGTGAATAGTGAGTAGCGGGAAGTGAATAGGGAGTATTGAGTAGCGAGTATGGGGGTAGCGAGTAGTGAGTACTGAGTACTGTGTAGTCAGTATTGTGTAGGGACTAAGGAGTAGCGAGTAGCGAGTAGTAGGTAGTGAGTAGTGATTAGTGAGTAGTGAGTAGGGAGTAGTGGGTAGTGCTTAGTGAGTAGTGAGTATTGAGTAGTGGGTAGTGAGGAGTGAGTAGTGAGTAGGGAGGAGGGAGTAGTGAGTAGGGAGTAGTGAGTAGCGAATACTGGGTGCTGGGTAGTGAGTAGTGGATAGTGAGTAGTGAGTCGTGAGTAGTGAGTAGGGGGTAGTGAGAAGTGAGTAGGGAATAGCGAGTAGTCAGTAGTGGGTAGTGAGTAATGAGTAGTGAGTACTCTTTGGGGTGGGGTTCGTGGTTCGGGTTAGGATTGTCGGGCTTGGGTTAGGGTGAAGACTAGGGGTAGGGGTGGCGGGGTCGGGTTCCGTAGAGTCCGGGGGCGGTGTGCGAAAGGGGGGGAGAGGGGGGGGGGGTTGTTCGGACCCCCCCCGCCCCCTTTTGAAGGGGAGGGGGGGGGGGTTCCCCGACGACGGATCGGGGAAAGGGGGGGATCGGGTGTCGGGAAGGGAGGGGAGGGGGGGGGTCCCCGACGACGGATCGGGGAAGGGGGGGGGGGGGGTCCCTACCCCCCCCCCCTGGGGACATCCAGCGGCGCACCCTCGGAATCATGGGAATCCGTGAAACTCTTGAAAAAATGTAAAACGAATGCGCGCGGCGCTCAGGCGAAAGCCACATTTTGAAAACAATCCACCCTCAATCCGTAAAACTCTAACGAAGTTTTAAAAAAAGAATGTGCGCGGCGCTAAGGCGAGAGCCACATTCTGAAAACCACCCGCCCTCAATCCGTGAAGCTCTAGCCAATGTTCTAAGCTTCAGTGTCACAAGTGGTAAGGAAGTCTCAGGCGAAACGCCCGGCCCGCCCTGAAAACTGGCTTCGGGGTGCGACAGGGAGAAGTGATTGATAAGGAAATGTATGTTGGAGGAGGAGGAGGAGGAGGAGGAGGAGGAGGAGGAGGATGGAGGAGGAGGAAGGAGGAGGAGATGTGTTGATAAGGAAATGTATTAGGAGGAGGAGGAGCGGAGGTGGAGGAGGAGGAGGAGATGTGATTGATAAGGAAATGTACTCGGAGGAGAGAGATTGATGAGGAGGAGGAGGAGGAGGAGGAGGAGGAGGAGGAGGAGGAGGAGAGGAGGAGGAGGAGGAGGAGGAGGAGATGAGGAGGAGGAGGAGGAGGAGGAGGAGGAGGAGGAGAAGGAGTGAGGGAGGACTTCCCTTTTCGACTGCGGCCCGTCGGCCGCTGCGGCCCCGCACAGGCCTCCGCGGCGGCGCTGGAGATGGACCCCCCGTCCTCAGGCGGCCGCGCGGCCTCGCGCCGCTGCCGCGCCATCCGGCCCCCAGCCAGGAGGAGCAGAGAAGCCCTCCCTTCATCATCACCCACCTTCTCCTCCTTGTCCTCCTCCTCGTCCTCCTCCTCCCTCCTCCTCCTCCTTCTCCTCCTCCTCCTCCCCCCTCCTCCTTATTATGCTTCGACCCTCCCCCTTCTCCCTTCTCCTCCTCCTCCTCCCCGTCTGGGCGGTGGGAGGAGAGAGGAGCGGTGTGAGCGAGGGAGGAGGAAAACCCAGACATGATGGCGTCGTAGAAAAATCCGGGCGAAAGGTTTTTCGCGATGTTCGGCCCCGGGGGGCCCCGGGGGGCCCTCGCCGGGCCTCGGGACCGTGAAAAGACGACCCGGGATGAAGAACCGGCCCCAGGGAAAGGGTCTGGACTTCCAGGGACGCCGTCCTGAAAAAATCAGGACGTCGCATGTCTGGGGAGGGATTGCCACATGGACTGTCAGAGTGCAGGAAGGCCCTCCTCGGGGCTTGGACCGCCCTGGAGGGCCTGCGGGCCAGCGCGGCGGGGGCAGCGGGCGTGGGCCCACCAGGGACGCACCCGTTGCAAATCCGGGCCTCCGGGCCCCCAGTCACTCCTGAAGGGGCCCTGGGCCCCTTCTTTGTGTTTTCTTATATTTTGTCATATATTTTCTGTGTTTTTGTCTCCCCCCCAATTCCCATATCTTCTCATATTCTCGGGGAAATCGTCGCTGAATTGTGTCTGAGTGGTCTTTTTCCCTCCTGAACCCCGGAGGGCCCGGGCGGGCCGGCCAGGCACGGCGAGCGTTGCGTTCCCTTCAGGGCCGGCCCCGACGCTGGGCGAGCTTCGCCGCCTCACCACTGCCGGGGGGCCGATGCCGCCGCAGGGAGGGTGGCGGGAGGAAGACGAGGGGGAGGGGGAGGGCGTGAGGGGGGGAGGAGGAGGGGGGAGGAGGAGGAGGGGGAGATGGGAGGAGGGAGGAAGAGGAGGGGGGAATGAGGAGGAAGAGGAGGAGGAGGCGCAGTAGGAGGATGAGGACGGGAGGTCGCCGGCGCCGAAACGGCCTTGCCTTCGGGCGCAGCTCGCCTTCAGCGGAAGCCAGCGGATGGCCGGCGGAAGTAAAAGTGTCACGTCTGCGTTGGGCCGTGTAGCTTCGAGATGACGACGCCCCCAGGGAGATGCACCCGCCAGGGGAGGGATGTTACGTCGCTCCCGGGGGACAAGACGTCGCCCGTCAAGGCAGGGATCCCATGTCGCCCCACTGAGAGGACGCTACGTCGCCCTCCCCCAAAGGGAGGAAGGATGTTTGACGTTTGTGGATTTGCGAAACCTCGGGGACGAGGGGGGGGGGCCACGGCTGGATCCGCTTGGACATCTCGATCAGACTGCGCTCCAGGGCCGATCCCCAGGGAACCTCGAGGGGTAATCCTTTGCCCAGGTCTCCAGTCGAGGAAAAACGCGAACACGGTCTGAGGCGCGTGGATGAGTGACGGATCCCGCTTCCATGCCACATCGGCGCCCTCCGTCACCGAGTCAGGCGGCATCGTTCGCATGTGTCGTGGGTGCTTCCCCCGATCCGTGGATTTGGCGCTCACGCGCCAGATCCACCGATCCCTAAGCTTAAGTCGAGCCTGTCCCCCTACAGGAGGATTTTCGACGAAAAATAAGAAAATCCCCAAAAATAATCAAAAAATAGTTCAAAATTAATCTGGGGACTATGTTTTGAATATTTGTTTGCCTTTTTGGGGTACCTTCTTGGTGTATATCTCATTTTTTCGTCGGAAATCCCCCTGTAGGGGAACACGCCCGACATAACCCTAAGCCGTGCTGGCGCGTGCCCGATCCAGGCACCGCGAAAGCACACGGCAGAGGTCATTGCCTCGCCTCGGCGGCGTCGGCGGCCGCGGGGCCGTCGAACGAGCGCGGGCGAGCGCGGCGCGGCACACGTCGTGGAAGCGGCACGCGCCGCCGGGGGCTCCGAGGGGGGGCAGAGAGGAGGGGGGCGTGCCAGAGGACGCGGCCAGGAATCAGGAGGGGAAAAAACACACAGACACAATTAATCGGCGATTCCCAGAAAATATGGGAAAATATGGGAAGTGGGGGGGAAGACAAAAACCCAGAAAATATGTGGAAATATGGGAGATCATTTTATTTGTGTATATTTATTTGTGTGTCCCAGTTCCCCTTTCAAGGAAGGCGTGGCTCAGCGCGTCGGGGGTGCCGAGTCCAGAGCTCGCCACGTTTCGGCCCCGACGCGCTGTCCGCCTTGCGGCCCCCAGGCGTCAGCGTCTCTCGACCTTTCCCCAGCGCTCCTCCCCGGCGGGTAACGGTCGGGCTGCGGCCGCTACAAATTGGCCGAAGGGCTGGAGGCAACGCGAATTACCGACGGCTAACGCGCGCGACTAGGCGGGCGCGGCGGCGCCGGATGCAGCAAGCAGCGACTGCGGCGCGGAGCGGAGCGACGGGCCACCCGCTCGCAAGACACAGCGGGTCGTCAGGGCCGCCGCCGCGGCACGCTGGGCAAGCGTGCCCGACCGCCTACGGGGTCTGGCAGGTTCTGCGAGTGGTGGGGCCCAGGGGGTTCCAGAAAGGGGAAGGGCCACATCTGTTGCCACAAGATCACACACACACACCCGTCTTGCTAGTGTTCAGGCTGTGAGATTAGAGGAATTTGCCCCTTGTGACGGTCTTCCTATACCTGGATGAGCAGCCAACATGTTTCGGCATGGAAGGCCGACAGTTCGGCTTTCTTATTTACCCAAGATGCTTATACAAGACATGATGCCCGTAGGTTGAGCTATCGAGTAAACTCGCGGACGCCAGGAGGCGAAAGTGAGTCCTCCTGGTCGGTATGCCTGGGGGTCTGCAGGCACGTGTTGTTCTATATTGAGCCGGCGCCTTCAGCTGCTGCATCGTAAGTGCAAGATGGGATTGAGAGACGTTCGTTCAAAATGATATGCCCCCCCACCGCAAAAGTATTCCACTTCCTGCGCGCACGCTGCACTGCTTTTGTATGCGGGCGCATCTGATTGCAGCCCAGCCGCACGTGCATGGTCTTTGTTTCATCGTCTGTGGCTTCTGATGAGTTGTGAGCACTACCATTCGATGCTTCTGTGCTTACCTGTACTAGCGCAGCATCTCCCATCACAGGTTATTGGCCAGCGTCTATCACCCCCGTGGTCTTCCACACCCAGACGGTACTGGAAGAGGGCGCGGGCAACGTGTGATGGCAAAGGAAGGATTGATGGTGTTAGGTTCGAAGGGACACGCAGAGGACACACATTGCGCGACACGACGTGGACTGAGAGCAGCACATTCAGCATTGCGGAGAGCCCTCAGGGATGGACGATGGAAGAGAGAGCGGCGAGAGGCGAGAGGCGGAGGCAGAGGAGGAGGGAGTGGAAGAGGGAAGAGGACAGGAGGAGGAGGATGGAGGAGGACGGTGGGGGAGGACGAGGACGAGGAGGAGGAGGAGGAGGAGGAGCGCCAAGGCAACCGATGGTTAGTTTCAAAAACCTGGGAGAGCCGCATCCAGCGACAGCCTGGCCCGAGCCCCCCGCTAAGCGGGAAGCCTGAGCTAGGCCGATGCCAGAGGCGGCTCAGGGGGGCCAACTACGCCTCACCCCGCTTGAATTTCTCGAGGAAGGCCACACCCGTTGGCGTAGCCTGCTTGCATTCCTTGAGAAGATTATGGGCGCTTCCGGTGGCATGGGAGCCACACGTTAAGCATATATATATGTGCCCTTGCTAGACATGACCATATCATGAGACGGGTCAACGTAACGTGGAGGAGGAGCAGGAGGAGGAGGCGGAGGAGGAGGAGGAGAGAGGAGGAGGAGGAGGAGGAGGAG